CTGATAGCATGAAGATCTTCCTATACCGCAGGACATACGATGGCACGCAGGCATCTGAGCGAACAAGCGTGACCACTCGGTCCATTGATTCGCCACTTACAGTGAGTGAGTGAGTGAGTTAGCAATATTCAAGCAATATCACGGCGGGGGACACCAGAAATGGGCCTCACATACTGTAGCCGTGTGGGCAATCGAACCCCGGTCTTCGGCGTGACGAACGAACGCTTTATCCATTGGGCTACACCACCACTCCTTACGACACTCATACTACATGATATATTTATACAAAGCTTTTGGAGTCAGTTCCCACGAGAATCATCATTGAAGGTTGGTCTGTAGTTACATGCGTCAAATGATACGTCTATGCACAGTTTCGAAAGAGAAATTCATGCAAATTATAAACCAAAAAGACCGCCTCCGTGGTGTAGTGGTTAGAGCGTCCGCCCGGAGAGCGGAAGGTCGCGGGTTCGATCCCCGACCGCGTCATACCAAAAGACGTTAAAATATGGTACTTGTTGGTCCCTGTCTGGCGCTCGGCATTAATGGGTACAACAAGGACTGGTCGGCTCGGAGTCAGTATAATGTGTCTGAGTGGGGTATTCATGCTTCACTGCCGCATGGTATCTCAGTGGGCTAGCTCTATAAAACCAGCTTAAGTCTGGGCTAGTACAAGCAGCCGCACATACACATACACACGCATGCACGTCGTCATATGAGCGAAATATTCTCAAGCACGACGTTAAACCAAATTTCACCTCACCTATAAACCAAAAATGTAAAAGAAACCTAACATAACGTTCAGCCTTAAAGCATATTAATACACTCAGAGGTGCTTGCACTTTTGCTGATATACAAACATCGCACTTTCATGTAAGCGTGTGCTCTTATCGGTATCAAATGTCAGTCGGAACATGTTAAAATGCGGCAGATAAGGAAGTGAGTATTACCGTAATTACTCAAATAATCACGAGTTTTCACTTCAGAGCCTCTGCGTACATGCGTTGAAAGTACAGGTCCAGTAAAGGATGTTTGTGCCTTTAAGGCTCGGGTTTTCTTACGGCTTCCGACACGTATTAATGTTTTCAATGTGACCTTTCGGTCAGATATTAATCGACCTTAGTAAATGCACCAGGATCCGAACAGCTGAAAAGGCTGCAGTGTAACGTACTCCGTCTCAAAGTGTTTGAACCAGTTTATTTCCTTTTTGCCCAGACCTTTCTGTAATTCAAATGCACTAAATGAAACATTCAAAATTTTCCTGTAAGGTTCTGAATCTCCAATCCTTCCATCACCTGGTTCCATTTCAAGTTAAATTGAGTGATTTGATTCTATCAAAGTTAAATATTTTCAAAGACTTAGAGTTAGTCTGTACCGAAACGTTGCATTGTGCAGATATAGAAGTTAAAAGTTAAAATTCACTGTCTTCACTGATACTACAACTTCAAAAATGCCACTTAAAGACCTTTTTTAATTTGAGGTATATATTTTTTAAAGAACATGAGCAGGGGCTCAATGTGATCCTTCACGTCAATGTGATCCCTTCACGTCAATGTGATCCTTCACGTCAATGTGATCATCACGTGTAATAACCACTTGTATCAAACCACGTGGTCAGTGGAGCGTGGAGCTGAGATAACCTCTCCATGTGCAGCCTGCATGTTTGTTGTGCTTAACTGAACCCATCCCCATATAATCTAATGTGGCGTTCCACGCTGTTAACCCTGAGAATGTATACAAGTCTTATACTGGTTACACAGAGACTACTTTGTTAGGATACAGTCTCCCGTAAAGACGCGATTGTAGGTTTCAACATCTTGGATTCTTTGACAGGTCGGGTCATTCAGTCTCACGTTAGCAAACAACTGATCGAATGATTATTGTCATGTTACAGTACAACCAGAAATTATTGAGAATTTAAAGATTGTAATTTTTTATATTTATTTCACTCATTACTCACGTATTAAATGTGAATATTAGCAGAACATAACTCCAGATTCAAAGACAGGTGAACAGTTAGGAGTTTGTCAAGTCACCATTGGCAGCAATGCAGGCTTCAATGCGGCGGGGCATACTACTGATCAAAGAAGTTAGAAAGTCGTGGTCCATGCTGTCCCAATATCGGACCACCTCTTCTTTCATTTCAGCAATATTTGTCAGATTTTTCTTATTGACACTCTCCTTCATAAGTCCTCAAACATTTTCTATTGGATTTAGGTCAGGGCTACAGCTTGGCCAATCTAATAATGTCATATTTTGGGTCCGAAACCAGGCCTGTGAATGCTTTGAACGATGTTTTGGGTCGTTGTCCTGCTGGAAAATCCCAAAATGTCCATAGAGCACGTGAGCAGATGGAAGTAAATGTCCCTCGAGAATATCTGTGTACCGCTCACTGTTCATATTCCCTTCAAATACACAGAGGGGCGTTGCCCCTAACACAGATATGCCACCCCACACGTTCAATTTCGGAGTGTACTTTGGGCGCTGATACAAAGGATTTTCAGTTTGTTTGGTCCAGAATTTCAGTGTATTAGGAAACAGCCACACAGAACTTTCATCTGAGAAAATCACATTGTCCCAGTTAAAATTTCTATGCTGTAAGCACCAGTTCAACCTTCGCTCCTTTTGTTCAGGTTTCATGATCGGTGATGGAATTCCTCGACTTTTCTGCCAACACATTGCATGCAGCTTAGTTCTAATTGTCTCCTTACAGACATCCACAGTTCCTCTATCAATCATATCCAGCCTTAAGTTTTCTAAACTCCTTCGTTTGTTTTTAGAAACAAGAATACCAAGCCGCCCTCTGTCACCGACAGTCAATTTTCTGGGCCTACCTGCGCCTCCCTGGTGCTCAATGCCATATCCTTTTGCAATATTTTTCAAAACACGATAAACAGTGGACAAAGGGATGCCTGTTCTACTTGAAATCACTTTAGCTGATCTGATGTCCTTGTTATAATACTCTAAAATCAACTTCCTCTTCTCTAAATCATCCATACTGAGGATCACTGAAAATGTCGTCTGCTAGCAAGTAAACAAAGGGGGATAACTCTTCACAAACTAATGAAAAAGGAGTAACGGAGTTGTCTCTCTTGAATGAAACTAAGCACTTGGTAGCTGTGTCAAGGTTGTTTATACTAGAAATCCAATTAAACATATTCCTAAAATTCTCAATAATTTCTGGTCATACTATACTGTACCCGGTCGCTCTCTTGATGAAAACAGATGTTATTTTACATCGCATCGCCTCAGTGGAAGAATAATCGTTCAACTAAGTCTTCCTGATACCAAGGCAAATGTCCTTGAAGATGTTATTCATGAACTAAAACACTAGGAAACGCAACACATTGCATTTAACACGTATTTAAAAGAAATATCCCCTAAAACTGACGATAGTAATTACAATATTAAATTATTCAATGTTGATTAAAATATATTTTGCTGACACGATTTCAAAGGCCAGAAAGATCCGTAAACACAGTTACATACACACATGCAACAAGTACACATGTACTTACATGTTTGGGAGAAACAAGTACACTTGTACTTCCATGTTTGAGTGTAACAAGTACACTTATACTTACAGAAAGGTGTGTTAAGTAGACGATTGCCATTATTGGGGCTTTCAAAAAACAAAATGACGTGTCTTCTCCCACCCCACCCAAGGTTTGCAAAAATGAAAAAGATAAAGAAATATTACAAACTATTTTTTGTTTTCGTCTCCGCGTTTTGGGCTTGTAAGTACATACAAAAAAATGAAATGCGTCGAAATGGATGATTTTACAGAATCTAGGGTGTTATATTTTTCATTTTAAAATGAGCAAGTGAGATACCGGGACTTTAATCAGTCCTGGCCCCGATTTCTCGAAACAAACTTAAGTTTTTACTCAAATTTCAAACTGAGTTGGACAATTTGAAACAGATGAATTTTTAACTCATCTGCATTTTTTAAATAAAAAAGCCCAAACAACTTAAGTAATCTATCCACCAAACTCAAATTTTCTACTATGTTTGAGTTTAATATCGATTTTAGTTCATTCTGGGAAATGCATTTTCTCAAATTTGAGTAAAAACTCTAACTTCAGTCGAAACTCAGACTTAAGTTTGTTTCGAGAAATCGGGGCCAGGGTGCCGTTGTACAAAGCGACCTTAGCGCTGAGGTGACCGTAACTCCCATACCTTAACATAGTCTTAGCGCTAAGGTTTTTTTTTGTACAACGGCACCCAGGACTGTTAACTCATGTCCATAAAATGTCATATATGTTTATTAGTTAACAAAAAATAATTTGACATTAATTGTAATAGAAAGTACTTGAATAAAGCTTAGTCAAACAATTTATTTTCTTGAATATATTGTTATGCAAAACTTAAGAAACATGAGCAGATTATGAATAAAGTCACTTACTTTGCGTGCAAACTCATTATATATGACTGTAACAGTTATTGATTATGCTAAGTATATACATGTCGGTTTCACACCAGGAATTATTGAAACGTAGTAATAGGCAACACCGGAGCATGGGCCACCTTTAATATCTTCGTGATTTGATTGATTGATTTGAGTTATCAGTCGAACAGGTAAGTTCACGATAAATGCTGTTTTTTCACGATTTTCTTATGAAAACACTAAGGCCAGGTATCATATTAAATTTAAGCCTATCTGAATTTGACCATAAGCAGACGTAATAATTTTCTGGTAATATTATAAATAACATACGTGTACGCTTTCAAAATAATTTACTATTACATCTATAAGTTAATAGTTGTAATATCTTGCCACTGTTTCGGAGTTAACATAATGTCGCAGTTACTGTAATACGTTTAATACGAAATTTCAGGATACAAAAATATCGTATCAGTTTTCAAAAGAAATAGCTCATTTGAGAATTATCACTTGATTGCGGTATACCATTTACGGTAAAAATTCATTCATTCATTCATTTAGTAGGTCACGTGAAAACTACGTCATGGATGCGTGAGATTTGTGCGCAAAGGGTCCAAAATGGCCGTCAATGTGATTCGAAAACGGGAGACAGTCGTTTAGCGTGACGACAAATCTGTATTTGCCAAAAGGGTGAAGGGCTGAAAGCTATTGGAACGCCCTATAAATGAGACCCAGTGAGTTTGAACGGCTGATCAGATGTCCGGGATGGAAACGAGGAAACAACGAGGCGATTATGATGGTAAAATCGCCGGTTTGTACGATTTGGAGGACACAATCGGACGAGGCCATTTTGCTGTCGTAAAACTTGCAAGACATGTATTTACAGGCGAAAAAGTTGCGGTGAAAGTCATCGATAAGACAAAATTGGATGAAATATCTCGTTCACACTTATTTCAGGAAGTACGATGCATGAAATTGGTGCAACACCCCAACGTCGTGCGTTTGTACGAGGTGATAGACACACAGACCAAGTTGTATTTGATATTGGAGCTTGGGGATGGAGGAGATATGTATGATTATATCATGAAACATGACGGTGGATTGGAAGAAAATGTAGCCAGACGATACTTTAGACAAATAGTAGAAGCGATATCGTATTGCCACAGACTTCACGTTGTTCACAGGGATTTAAAACCCGAGAATGTGGTGTTTTTCGAGAAACTGGGTCTGGTGAAATTGACAGATTTTGGATTCAGTAATATGTTTAATCCAGGGAAAAAGTTGGAGACATCGTGTGGTTCACTTGCATATTCAGCTCCAGAAATCCTTCTTGGAGATTCCTATGATGCACCAGCAGTAGGTGGGTATTTTTAAAACTGTTTCATGACATCTGTCTAATCTATATCATTGCAGGGTATTTTTGACAGTCAGCACCTGCCTGAGATTATCATGATATAAGACACTATTTTGGTTTCATAACCAAATTAGTTTTGTCAGTGGACCAGGCAAGCTGTGAATAATGAGTAAACAAAACAAAAGCTGTATTGCTTACATGATTGTCCTGATTGAAAATGGTTTCCTCACCTCTCACCATATATTAGTTGAACTTACCCATTTGAAATGTTTATCATTATATCAATGTCTTGTTATGCATGCGGTTATGATTCTCATGAAATATTTACACTGAGATGCCCTATGTCCGAATGTACTTTGTCGTTTCCTTTCCTTGTGTACTGTAAAGGAATCAGGGAGTCTTTATGTGTGGAGTTGATCAATAATTTCTAGTGTGCTGGAAGATAGGACTTGAAGAGCTTTTAAGGGGTTCATAGGATTTTGTACTCCCATTATATCATTTCAAATGTATTATTTCATAGAAAAGTCAGTTATCTTGAGCAACGGCCAGTGTAGTGCATGCTTCCAGATGTTTTGTGTGTAAAATAATACATGACTGATAAACCATGAACATGACAATAGCTTGCCATAGATATTTAAGTTGTGTTTAGATTTACCTATGTATTGGAAAAAATGTTATAATGGTCATCAGATGTGGTCGTTTTTACTATGTACAACTAAAAATGGAATATAAACATTTGGCAAATACGTGACATAACTGGACCTGCCATGACTATTGAAACATCGGGTTGTGTCATTGGGTTAAGTATGAACATTTAGTTTTATCGTAATACTCTTTTACATTATCTAATATTTATGGTAATGTATGACCATATACATATTATGCTTCTAAATCATGCGAGCACAAGTATGATATGATAATAATGTTGTTACCATGGTGACAGGCAGCTATGTTATCATGATATTAGACCACAGGGACATGTGATGATTGCCAGTGAGTACATGTAGATTGTAAGGTGTAACTTTCACTCCAACACCTACTTTGGTGACATGTGTCTAGGACTGATTAGTTCATGATCATGATCATTTTGTCCCATGATCTGTTCTTGAGCTATATCACCAGCTCCCACTAGTCGGACATGATTAGTAGTAAGACACAAGGCTCAGTTTCCTTAACATGCTTAATGGGTACATTGCATCCTTTTCTTTGTTTTCCTGTTTGGTCTTGATGACAATGTACAAGTGCCGGATCATGATGACACACCCTGTGTGTCTTTCAAAATGATCGTGGTTTGATTATTTGTAATTTTACTAACCAACACATACTGTCATTGTTTAGAAATATACACCATACAGTTTGTTGTGTTTTTACCATTTCTGCATCAACATGATCAGGTACCGTTGTCATGGTAACAAGCATTCTTACTCGTTCACCCTGTCAGGCACTGGAACAGTTACTACATATGCTGGGGTACATATTCTTGGCCCGTGTTAACACTGTAATCTAATCTAACTTCCAACTGACATGCTTTACTTAGAAGTAACAAAACAGTGTGTTTACCTTTCGTTTCCAACTAAGAGCTGAGGAATGTATAAAACATGTTGAAATGGGCTGAATTTTGGGGAACTTGTACTTGTACATTGTAGTGCTAATATAACCCAGTATTTTTTATTGTGGGCATTGGATGGCTGCTCATTTTGGACAGTGGGGTTAGACATGGTCACTTGTCTGTGAGAGATTTACATAAACCAGCTGGATGAAATTGGGATAGTTACATATGTGATCAGAACCAAATAGATGTTATCATGTAGTACAGTAGTGCTGGAGCGATTAATCGGTCAATCGATCTCGCTTGTGTCAGCGATTTTTGATGGGCTCTGGAGACTGCTTGATATTCATAAAAAATGGATCATCAAATTTAATTGAATTTTAGAAAGTAAGTTTCTTATTGTTCTGTTTGTTAAATCAAGACAATTGATGTATTTGCCTTACTTATAAAACTGCAATGTAAACATACTTGTGTGCGTGTCTCAACAGGAAATATCCTCAATCATCTTGATCAAAGTATTAATAGGTGAACAATGTTATGATTGTGTCCAGCTATTGCCCATATGAGTTTTGTAGTGGGTCAATAATCGATTACTGAACTCCAATGATTTATCTGCATATTGTGAGCGATAACCAGCACAAAAGCACTGTGACCACAGTTTGCAAAGAGTTGATATTCTTTGCTGTTACTAAGTTCCTGGTGCACAGTAATATATAATTCCTAGTACCATATGCATGCAATATGTTTATATGAATTACTGGGTTCATGATAGGCTTGTTTTTGTAGTGAAAACAGTGGTGCCTGTCATTTCACAAATAGTTATCAGTCCTCACCATCAGGCATGTCTGGTGGTTTACAAAGTAATCCTCTGGTTCCAAATTATGACCCGAACTACTGCATTCCTTGACTATTGTTACTGAGCATGTTCTGCTTAAATACGATATTGTCTTAAACGTGTTGAAATAGCGTGAACATCAGGTCATGAAATATTTGTAAATAGATCAGCTTTGGCTTTTTCGCTTTTATGTGACCATGAATGCATCAGCTAATGAATTTAAACATTCCAGGGACAAATGCAGGAAAATTTGAACAAATACTTTAAAATGATTGAAATAATTGTCATTACGTCAAATTTGTCATGTTACCATGCTTCAACATGCTGAACATGTTTTTAGCCCATTATGTTTCACATGATATGACAGTGACAACTATCAGCACAGTCTGTGCCAAAATGTTTGAGAATACAAACCTGAACAGGGCACTTAGCATCATTTTTATGGACTATCATTAGCTGAACTGACTAGAACAACCGATTTTTACCAAGTTTACTGGACCTTAGCTTTGGATTAGTGGCTTTAGTCTCAGACTGCCAATGATTCTGATATTGAAAAGTATATTTTCTCAGTGAAAAAGAATGTTAATATTAAAGTTACAGCTTATTCTAGCATCATGAAGCGATTGACCACGGTTGAGATGGATCAACAGGATTCTTGTTACTTCAGATTTTGTTTTTAGTGTTTAAGTGTGGTTACTATAGTATAACGTGTACAGGTAACCATGGTGATAAGTACAAGGAAGTGATAGTGTATCCTGTTCCCAGAATCACGTTAGCAGGATGATGGTAATTAAACAGGCATTTTTTTATCACCATGATTATGCGATAGGATTTGTGTTTTAATTCCTTCCTTTTCCAAGTCAGTATCACTGTGGGCTATGAAACACAGCTTTACCCTCTGTTGGCATGCTTTATCTTAATATTTTTACAACTGTTACTTGTGTTTTCATTTTTCATTTATGCTCCTTTTTATTACCCTTAAGGGCACATGTATAAATTATTGTACTGTAGTGTTGGAATAAGTGTTAGTGCAAGTTTGATGCTATGCAGTAAAACTGTAATCATACCACTGATTACTTTGTAATCGTAATGTTCATGGTATGTTAATCAGAGTGATCATCCTAATAATAATAATTAATATTGCTGCCAGGATTGCCATTATGTTCAGTGATTGGAAATGAGGCATTTACGTCTAGGGAACCCTGATGTTAGACAAACATTGAGAGTTAAAGATTCAGGGCTCCCCATTCCTCGTTGATGAGGAAACAGCATGGCTGCAAATATCAACATGTTCTACATGCTCAAGGATCCACGGACCCACCTCATTTTCAAACACTGGAGTAGGAAAACTTCTATCTTGTCTACATCTGTAATTTTCGATGCATTGTTTATGTATGATGATGGTTGATTTTGGCAAACACTCAAGGAAGTCAGACTTACAAGCCTTTGGAACGTTAAACAATTCTTTATCATCAGCCACTTGTGAGTACCTGGATGCCACCCTACACAAATTATGGGCGGTTTAATGTGTTGAAAAGGCAGTGTAAATACAAGGCAGTCATCAGCGCCAACTTCCTGGTTCTTGATCAGGACATTAGTGAGCACATCACTGAACAAAATACATTCCTTTAAGATCGTTTGATCCAGTATGGTCTCGTTAACATTTCCAGGTTTATATTTCGAAGGCAATACTTTGAATAATGTGAAGTTCTCTGTTACCAGACTGTTTTGTTGTGATGCAATGTGATGTGTTTAGTCATGTAATAAGTGGAAGATGGTTATCTCATGGTTTGGATAGAGGTAATTTGGACTGGTATGAAGCTTGGGGAGTGATTACCGCAAGATGTTTACAAGGAATAGGAATGCAGGATGTACCTATGATGCATGCAGGTGTTTGATATTACTGAGGAAGAACATGCTGAGTACAGTATCGGTAGCCATTATATGAGTAGGACGAGTTACTTCATCATTAACTCTGGTCTGCTGATATTAGTACTCTTTAAATATTAGGGGCACAGGTTTTCCAGCCATTTGCTATGCAGAGTTACGGCCCTTAGGCATGCCAGAAACCTATGACTCGGATTGGCTTGGTTATGTTTCAAGGTTTGCTGATACCATACCCGTGCTTATGTGTTTAACCAAAGTGGTAAATGTCTTAGACTCTCCTACTCCCACACTGGAGTGAGATACGACGGGAACACTGTTCAGAGGTGTATTATACATGATTTACACATTTGGATTAACTTTTCTCAATATATTGAGACAGATGATAGGAAAAAGAAATTCCATTTCACCCTTCAACATGTAATTTACTGGTGAAAGCTATAGTGATATAGTGAGTGAGTGAGTATGGTTTTACGCCGCTTTTAGCAATATTCCAACAATATCACGGCGGGGGACACCAGAAATGGGCTTCACACATTGTGCCCATGTGGGGATTCGAACCCGGGTCTTCTTTTTTCATGTTTTTAAATGTCCCTAAGTGTGTGCAGGAACTGAATTCAGACTTTTTGGCACATTTTCATATTTTCTTATCAAAGAAGTGTAAAATGACAAAGAAAAAACATAAATAGTTCATAACACATAAAGTGAAATTCTACCTAGCAGCAATCAGATTATGAT